TTGCTCCCCATATGTGAAGTAGGTTGACTGCAGGCACAGTTTCAAGAGTTGACACAGTTGTTCTGTGAAAAGTGTGGTCCTGCTGCTCAGAGTGGTGTCTGATTTTAATCTTAAACTGACCACCTCTACTGCATCATCAACAGGAATGCACGTAAAGAGTGATGTGACATCAAAAGAGACCATTGTTTCATCAGTCTCCATGATGACATCCCTCACCTTGTCCACAAAGTCCATGGTGTTCTGTACATACAGAACATACAGAATTCTTTATTTTTGCTTTGTTTTGTTTTTTTGAATGTCCAGAGGACCAGATTGAACTTTTTTGGATTTTTCTACCTGGATTATTGAGCAGCATCAGGATATTATTATTATTGTTCATATTGGATCATGATTGTTCCCTAAAACTTAACTTGGGCTTCACTGTGTTTCTAAAGGCTCGCACAGACTCAGGTGGACCTCGGTCCACAGAAGTCCACACATATCTGATTAGTCCAAGCGGACGCCAGCAGGGCATGTCCGTGCAAAGCTCAATTTTTAGGACCACGTACGTGCACTCGGTGTCGCACAATAAAGTGCCTGGTGACGGACTGTTTTGTTTGTGACACCAATGTATTAAATTCCCTTCTTCATCCCTGATCGGGTTTAATGGTCTTTTCTTTAGTTTTTAATGTATGAAGTTTATTTGATAGTGACCGACACAATAACGCACTGAATCAAGCAGCAGTCTCATGCCTGTTTCATGGTGCTTTGTTTTTTCATTCAACCTTTATTTCTGCAGGTTAATCCCATTGAGCCTCGGGGACTCATTTACAACAGAGACCTGATTTAACAAAGAACGATGAAACAATGGACAGCTATAAAAAAGCATACAGATCATTATTATTTTTTATAGTTAACAGAGTGAGCTCATTTGCAGCACTTGTCCCTAGATGGACTTTTATACAGGTTATCTAAAATACTATTAAGAAGTGGAATGTCAATAAAAGAGTAATTAAAAATAATATTGACAACAAAAACAGTGTCGTACACTTCAAACAAATGGATAAAAACAATAAAAATACATTAAGTGTGAATGTAATGCTGTTTTTGACTCAGCCAGAGTTTAGTTTGTTTTCAACTTATTGAATCTGGTCACAGACTTTAAAGTGACAGGAAGTGAGTAACAAACTGGATCCTGTCACAGACTGAGAACTCTGATCAGACGTGGTTCCAGGAACAGGAACCT